CGTTACATATCCCAACGTTGGAGAATACAATCTCCAAAAAAAGTTGAAGCCACTACTAGGACGGTTGAAGGATTATTAGATGTCTAATTTGTTAGAACCAAACAGGTTTGTCCCATGTCTCTTAGGTTTTGATGATAACAAAGTATTTAAAGAACAATTGGGTATACTAATATTTTTTTAAGTGTGTTGGACCATAGACTAACATTTCATATATAATCTAAGTATTGGTTTTGACTATGAACATATAAAGAAAAGCTTAAAGAACAAAGTCTAATGGATCCGAAGCTGAAGATCAGACTCTTAAGAAGTCAACTTCTGAAGAGTTCAACATCTGAAGGTCAAAGTCTAAAGGAATCAGCCTTTGAAAACCAGATTTTGAAGAAGTCTACTTCTGATGATCAAAACTTGAGCTAGTTAAATCACAAGGACCAAGGTAACTACAATGGGTCACTATCAACCTCTGAGTATACTTGTCACATTAATACCTAAGATATACTTTCTTCATAGAATCTTATGGGATACAACTGCTAATTCCTTTTGTAGCAAAGGGATTTCAAACTAGCTTTCAACAACCTTGACTATTTGAAAAAACATCCCAATGTCTCTTTTGAAGCTTCTCAAGGACTTTCTTGTGCTGATTATCCAGCGACTCTTTTCCCTCTCTATTTAAGGAGTTGAGGACTTGATGAAAAACAATTGATTATATTGGCAATAAAAAGAGAAGTTACTCTGTCAGAAACAATAGCACAGACAGGACCTAGGATTTCTTATCCTTGTGTATTCTAGAAAACCCTAAGTCTTAAAAATTTATTTTTTAGCTGTATTTTTTCTACACCTTTGATTGTATATCAAGTGTATTACCCCTAAAACAATCATTTATCTGTTAGGTAGATTGTTAGAAGTCTCTTACTAAGTGTTTGAGCATTTGAAGTCTCTTGCTTGTGTGCTTAAGCATAGAAGTCTCTTACTTGTATACTTGAGCATTAGAAGTTTCTTGCTTAAGTGCTTGAGCATAGAAGTCTATTACTTTGTGTTTAAGCATTGGAAGTCTCTTTCTTGTGTGCTTGATCATATAAGTCTCGTACTTTGTATGGAAGTATATTGCTTGTGGGCTTGAGAAAATTGTAATCTTGTGTGATTATAGTGAAAATATCTTGTAAGTATGAGGGGACTAGATTACTCTCAATTTATGAGAGGAAACATGATAACTCAACGTGTCACTCTTCTTTCTTGCATTTCATATTCGCTGCCTACCTCTGATTGAATCAAATTAGATACCTTGGGTTTAGAATCTAACCAAAGAGTTTTAAAAAAAGCAAGAAAAATTAAACACAATTCAACCCCTCTTCTTGTGGTTTCTTTTACCTTCATAATTCATTTTCGAAGCCAAGTATACATAATGGTTATCTTATGTGGTGCTAGTAAAGAAGGCCTCGAGGAAATGGAGGATGTGCGGTGATTATATAGATCTTAGTAAGGCCTTCCCAAAAGATTTTTACTTGCTCCCAAATATTGATAAGCTAATAGATAATTAAGTGAGGTATCAATTACTTTCATTTGTTGATGCCTATTTGGGGTATAATCATATACCTATGTACGGGCCTAACCAGATAAAGACAACCTTTATGACCGAGCATGCCAATTATCAATGTAAGGCCATGCCATTCATATTAAAGAATTTTGGTGCAACCTAACAGAGAATGATTAACAAGATCTTCCAAGAAGATATATGATATACTATAGAGATGTAAATGGGTTTTATGGTTATAAAGGAGGGTCCAACGATACAATATGCGCCTCAACCCGGAGAAATAGACTTTTAGAGTTAGGGAGGGAAAATCCTTAGGTGTCTATTTGACCGAGCGAGGGAATGAAGCAAACCCACACAAATGGGAAGAAGTGACTCAAATGAACTCACTGACTTCGAAGAAGGAAATTTAGAGGTTAATTAGTATGTAAATTGCTTTGAATAGATTTATTTCAAAGTATGCGCAACACGCTTTACCTTTTCACTGAATGTTGAAGAAAAATATTGATTTTGAGTGGACAACTAATTGCAAGGAAACATTTAAATCTTTAAAGAAAACCATGGTCACACCCCTGATACTTACCCGACCATCTCTAGGGGAAGTCTTGTAAAAAGAAGTTATAAGTGTTGTTTTGATTAAAGAATATGAAGTCCACCAGAGATAGTGTTGGACAAGTAACTTCAAGCACAAGAGGGGGGGATGAATTGTGGTATTTAAAATTCATGATTAATTTCAAACTTTTCTCAATTAAGATCGTATTAGTAATTTTAAGTGAGTAATTTGCAGTGGAGATAAAGTACTGAAAGTAAATTGTGGAAAATAAAAGGATAGGGTTATAAAAGTTGCACCATAGATTTATAGGGGTTTTGGCATAATGTTGGCCTAGTTATATCCCCTATAGGTATTCTTGAGAGTTATGACTATATACTTTTTGAACTTTTGAAGTTTATGCCTATGAACCTTAATACAATATAATCTTGAGATTTTTATAGGCTTTATCCTCAACCAATGTCATCTCTTACTCTAAACTAAGCTAACGAGCCATTTAGTGATTTATGGCTTATCTTAGTAACCAAAAAAAAGTTTTTTCTGAAAAAGTTTAAGAAACCAAATGCAGAGATTTTATGACAGGTTTATCTCAAGAACCAAACTCAATCTCTTAAGAGTATCACACCCTTAAGAATATAAATGACTAGCACAACCACTTACAACAATTCATTCCTCACAAGCAAAGCTTCATTCACTAACACTAAGGCAATATGAAGTGAAAGAAATTTTTTTAGAGAGAGAGAGAGAGAGGAAGGGAGAAAGGCAAACTCCAAAAAAATATGAAAACGTTGAAAAGTGGCATGATTTGAAGTGGAGGTGTGTCTCCTTTATATAGTAGTTGGAAAATTCTAAAACGAAAAATGATCCATGGGCCATATTAATTATCTAATCAATTATAATTAAGCTCTAATCAATTAAAAACTCATTTTTGATCAATTACCATACCTAAATAAGAATTTTTGGATATATAGTTGTTGCAAGTCATTAATGTGTTGTTCATGTTATTTCATTAATCAATTACCACTCTTATATTCAATTAGTTTGATGCTCTAATCAATTAGATGACTAAAAAATGTTTTCCCAATCGGTTAACATAATTAACTAATTGATTGGTTAGTTGGAAAAATGGTTTTTAAAAGGTTTGGACAACCTTTTAATCACTTGTTTTGCCATAGAAAATGGTTTTTTAAGTTTAAACACATTTGAGAAACCATTTTTACGTGTGTGTGTATGTGTGTACGCGCGCATGTGCATGTGTGTGTTTGTGTGTGTATGTGTTGCCTTAGTACTTTTAAGTTATTTCTTTATTTTTACAATACTCCAGTCACTCAAACAGACAGACAAACATGATCTGGAGGACTTTCACACCTTTCTTAAGGACTTCAAGATTTTTGCTAGATAGTTTCTGATTTGTGCAAGCACTTGATCTTGAGTCTTTTTTGTTGAGGAGTCATGATATACTTTCTTTAATTATCATCATCGCGGCTACAAGTTTTTGTTAGAATTTAGGGTTTAGAGTTTGATCGTCATTAAAACTTCAGATACAAGGCTTTATAACCTACAAACACATAAATTCACATTCCCCCCATTTTGATGATGACAACGCATCTCTCAGGGGAGGTGGTAACAGAAACAAATAAAGTATTTTTTGAGTAATCAAACTCCCCCTTAATTAATCAGAGAGTATACTCTACTCTCCATGAGAATATACTTCTCCCCCTTTGTCGAAATAAAAAAAAAAGAAGGAAAAAAACACATAGATTCACATATACCATATGTAATTAATTCAGTCTATGCATGATTGATTTAAATTTCTTAATTCAGTTCTTATAAAAAAGAAGTTTTTTTTAGGAAGTGTTTTAGTAAAAATATTTGTGAGTTGATTGTATGAGTCTATGAAGTCAAGTCTACATTTCCTTTTTTGAACATGATCTCTAATAAAGTGGTGTCTAACGTCAATGTGTTTGGACCACACTGATATGTGATTATTTTAGGGATGCTCAAAGACACACAACAAATACGATATCAAGACGAGATATAGTGAGATAAAGGAGGGAGTAGATCATACATAGGTATTTGTTTTTCAGAATTGGTTTTCCATTCTTGCCCTTGTCTAGGTTGCATGAGGTTGTCATTGGAGTTGTTATTGTCATGTACTTCTCCATGTCAAACCTCTTTAGCAGCTCTTTGTGATATTTGGTTTGATTTATGGAGGTTTTTTTCTCAGCTTGATGAATTTGAAGCCATAGGAAGTATCGAAGCATTGACATTTCAAATTTGTTCTATATCATTTCAGAAAAGTTCTTGCACAAGGAATCATTCTGCATCATTTCAAAAAAGTCTTTGCACAAAGATTCGTTAGTAACACCGAAAATGATATCATCAACATAAATCTGAACCAATAAAATGTCATGTTTGATTTTCTTGATAAAGAGAGCTTTATCAACTTGTCCTCTTTAAAACTTATTTTCAAGTAAGAATTTGTCTAAAGAAGTACACCAAATTTTAAAAGTTTGTTTTAGAATGTATAAAACTTTTCTTAAATTTAAAATCATGATCAAAGAAAAGTCGAGTTGATAAAATCTAAAACTTATCAACAAAATATTTCCAAAATATGATCTATGATAATTGACCCATTGTCATACCATTACAATACAACCGACAACCTAGAAAAAAAAGTGGCAAGAAATCCTACATCCCAATTTCCAAGAATATCCATGTCAATCCATTGTGATTTGTGACAAAAGCAAAAAAAAGAACATTATGTTCATCCATGTTTATCTAAAACCCCAAAACAAAACCCCTCATTTTCAAAGAAAAGTAAAATAAATAAATAAGAAAGAGAAAAGAAAAAACAAGTTTAGAAGAGAGAGAACAAGAAAAGAAAAACCTAATTACGACATTGAAAGAAATGCTTCAACAATGGTGATTTTCAGGTCTCTCAAATCAATACTCAGAAACTCAAACACCATAGCTCGAAACTTCCTCATTCCAACAACATCAACAACAATCACTCTTCCCTTTTCTCCATTACTGCACAACGCGCTTTTCCCCCTTCCTTTGCACCACAACGGCCCTCTCTTCCTCGCTTCTCCGCCCTGGAAACTCTCTCAGTCTGCAACCCCTCTTTATCATCACCCTAAAGCCGTCGTTTTTCGTCACAAGGTCAACGCCATCAACCTCAATTTGATTCGAATCACAACAAGAACCCCTTTACCACTCCACAATTATGTTGAATCCAATTCCAACTCCAACTCCAATCAATCTCATCAACAAACACTTCTATACACTTTCCTCAATGCGCCAAATCTCATATCTATTTCTCGATTAATTTCGGGTCCTTTTCTTGGATGGTAGCTACTATTTTGCAAATTTTGTGTAGAATATTAAAAAAAATGTTTTTTTTTTCATGTGCTAATTTTATTGATTTTTTTATAGGATGATAGTGAATGATATGTATACTCCAGCAATGGTGGGGTTGGCTATCTCTGGAGCTTCTGATTGGGTATGAAATTTTTTAATGCACTTTATGCTGAAATGTTGGATGATTTTTTCATTTTTTTTATGTGTTTATGTAATTGTAGCTTGATGGGTATGTGGCTAGGAAGATGAAGATTGATTCTGTAGTAGGTTCCTACCTTGATCCCCTTGCTGATAAGGTATGAATGAATTATAGTTTCTTCTTCTAAGGACAGTGCAATGTTAGCTAGAATTTGGGGTTGTGTTTTGTTTAATGGTCTGTTTTCAATCCATGAAATAGGTTCTTATTGGTTGTGTTGCCGTTGCAATGGTTCATCAAGATCTACTGCATCGTAAGTAGTGCTTGACTCAGGTAGCTGGTAATTTTGTGTTTTCTTAATGGTTTAGTTAATGTGAAGAAATAGTATATGTTCTCTATAATGTGTGATTGAAAATGAAAGCTAAGTCGTGCAACAGCTTTTCTCTCTGGTACAAGATCTTCAATATTTGGGGCTGGCAACTGCGGGTACATTTGGCTATAATTTTTTGTAGCTATATACTGTCTGCGTTTAATGAGTACAGTAGCTGAAAGGGAAGGGAACTGCATGTATATTTGATATAGTTTTTGTAGTTATATACTTTGCGCTTAATGAGTTCAAAGGGAGGGGTGTAGTAAGCATTTGGAGAAATGGTAGGGTCACATTCTCTAACACAATCTTCTAACACGCTCTAGTAATAATTGTCATGTCATTCACTTTTTCTATTCTTTTACCTAGTAACTGGTAGAACAAGTTGAGTGACTACATTTATTTATTATATACGTAGAATTTATCTGCAACATCCTTGGATACGTAACGCTGTAGCACTCTCTACAAGCTCGTTCCAGTTAGTTTTATGCACTGTTATTTGCCATTGTTTCAGTCCAAAACTTTTGTGACTGTTTCTGTAACATCTATATTGCAAGCTCTATCATCTTTTTTCGCAAGATTCAATCTCCCCTGTCTCAGGCTAAGTTGGCCATCACCATATAGATCTGTCACGAGATTCAGTGATCTTTTCTATGTCTATCCTTTGCAAGCTCATGTGGCAACCAATTTTCTGGGCGATGTAAACCGTTTTTGAGACCTAAGGTCCATTTCTTATTTTTCGAGTTTGTTCTATTTTTGGGCTGTAGATTTTTTGAGATCATCTTTTGAATTGCTATTGAGTTGGACTCAGTAGTCAATTCCGACTCCAAAAATGGGATAACGGGATGATCACTATTTGATCATTTTTTTGGACAAATTACATGTGTAATAATTATAAATATATCATTAATGTAAATTAAAACTAATAACTCAAAAACCCCAAAAATATTTACAAACCAAAGCACAAGACCTGTACACGCGGGGTACACTGATTGATAACTCTACCGGTGTTGAGCTAGTCAGAGGCGCATATATGAGTATATATCATATGGAAAAATGTATATATCTGTCTCTTTCGTATGCTGGTTGCTATTTTATATAAACTTGTATGCCCTGAGTCCCTAATGATCAATTGATTGTTCAGTACGATCTGTGTCTCCTTATCTATCGGAGAACTAATGGTAATCCAGTCCCTTGCTTCTCTGTCTAAGACCGGCCATTATGAGTATTCTTATGCCTTGAATGCTTTGTCTGTTCGATTTGGCTCCTTCTCGTTGATCCAACACAGTCATGTCCCTGGGTTTATTGAAACAGAGCATCATCAACAGCTGCTTCAATCATGAAATTTGTGGTTTCAATTTTTCTCTTTACGACTTTTTACCAAAATTAAAAAAAAAAAATCTGGAACATCATTTTCACTTTAGATGTTGGATTGTTGAATCCTGGAAGTGAAAACAGTCTTGGTGAGTGGAAAGGAACAGTGTGAGGTTGAAGTTGAAATCCAAATAATGAAGAAATAAAATTAAAAAATGGTTACACAGTGTGTGGCCAATTATTATTGGAGTGTGCTAGAAGAGTGTGATAGAAATAATGACCCTATAATTTCTCGAGCATTTGTGTTCATATAATGGTTTCATTATATAACATCTAAACTTCACAACACATATTATTTTGTATTCCATCTATGTGGTGCAAAATTATTCATATTGGTGTGTGATTTTGAAGCTGGACTCGTTGGACTTGTTGTGTTCCGAGATGCCTTCCTTGTCGGTGGTGCAATATTTCAAAGAGCTAGTAGCTTGGGTTGGAAGGTATGAAATTAGAACGAGGTTCTTAAGTCACAATTTTTTCCTGCTTCAGAAATTATAGAAATTAAGATTTAACCTTGACTGTATGGTTATCTCAGTGGAAAAGCTGGTTTGATTTTTTTAACCTCGATGGGACCGGTCGCCAAAAAGTCAAACCACTCTTTATAAGCAAGGTAAGGCATTATCGGTGTTTTGGTTTATTCCTCAAAGTAGTAAATTTACTTTATGTATCCCACTTTCTGAAGAATACCAATTTGGACAGGTGAATACAGTGTTCCAGTTAGCGTTAGTTGCTGCAGCTCTTCTTCAACCCGATTTCGGAACCCCAGAAACTCAATCATACCTTACTTATCTAAGGTAATTTGAGCGCTTTTTCTTCTGAGCTGAGTTGGGGTAGAGTTTTGGTTACCCTTGTGCTGATCTTTTTTCGAGTTATTGAACTTGATTCATTTTCTGGTGCAGCTGGTTAGTCGCTTCCACAACAGCGGGATCTAGCGCGGCTTATGGTTTACAATATATGAAAAGATCTGCAGTTGTATTAAAGTCGACATAGTTGAAGTTTAGTTGAGTGCTTGCAGCCAAATAAAAGTATGATTATAACCTTAATTAAGGAAAAGATAGAAGAAAAAGTTACATTTTATATGAATCATATAATGTTTCATTTCTCAAGCAAAAATGTACAGTATAATCGTAGTTCTATATTATTTTCATATTTTCGAAATAATGAGTAACCTTTTCATTTTCAATATCGTTAAAAATATGTATATTTATAGTGGAGTTTTTCACCATTAACACAAATTCAAGTGTTAGTTAGAAATAAAATAAAAGGATAATAGTAATATATGTTAACAAATTAATTCTTTTTTGAATAGCTAATACAGCTAACTATTAAAATATAAATTACTCATTTGCTTTAAAATAAAAGTCATTTAAGAGTTTTACACATTTAAAAAAATGGTGAATGTCATTAATTAAAATGTAATGCTCTGAGAGGAAGTCTAGTGAAGAGCTAGACGTAGATTAATCGTCGTGCATCACGTAGACTGACTGTTCATCCCATGATGATTACTAGTTAAGACGTAGATGATCGATCGGTTGATTGTTGTTCATCCCATGATGATTACTAGTTAAGATTGTTGTTCATCCCATGATGATTACTAGTTAAGACGTATTCGACACTAATTAATATTGAAAGTAAGTTAGAGGTTCTAAAGTCTTGTTTAGAAGAAGAATATGATGAACTCGACAACAAATAGTAACAATGAATAGTAACAATGATGTTTCGACGGCAGTAAAGAGTTGAAATGAGTTGTTGAAGTTTGCAGGTTTATTTTTTAGAAACAGTGTACGTTTCGACAGGAAAGTGGTGAAGATCTAGTCGAAGGAATCCTTGCATAGAAGACGGTATGATCTAAGATTTAGAAAGATCTTTGCTCATATTGGAGTTCGACGACACCCATTAGAAGGAGCGCTTCGATGGAGGCTGATAACTATCTTTTGCCTTTATCCATTTCTTAGGACACGTGGTGAAGATCTAGTCGAAAGACGGTATGATCTAATATTTAGAAAGATCTTTGCTCATATTGGAGTTCGACGACACCCATTAGAAGGAGCGCTTCGATGGAGGCTGATAACTATCTTTTGGCTTTATCCATTTCTTAAGACATGTGGAGGATTTTGAGGCGACGAAGTGCATGCAGTGGAAAACATTTCTGGCGAAATAACCGTTAGATGATGGTTATTTTTGATTTAGTATAAATAAGATCTTTAACATTTAGAATATGTGTGTTCAACAATTGTACAAAACTCTACATCTTATTCTCAATACCTGTGTGTGAGAAAAGAATGTTTTTGAGAGAATGTACGTTTGAATACCTTGTCTTTGCAATCAAATTTATTTAAATTTCAGCCATTTTCTTTATTTGTAATTTACTTTCCGTTTTTTATCAAATAATTTATCTTTCTGCAATCTACATTTCTTTTCTCAATTAAAAGAAAATTACAACACTCCATCAATGATGTTAGAAAATATTTGAAGAACATTGTATAAATATTCGTGATAATTAAAACCAAAAACTAAATAACAACACATGTCCTAGTATCAATCTAGTCGATTATCAAAAACTTAATAACTTTGGAGTACTAGTGGTTGTTTTTCATTTTCGACGGTAAACACCTGCATCATTAAATCCCACAATGATGACTAACCATGATGTATACCGATGTCGTTCATCCCATGGTGTGACTAGTCAAGACATAGATTGATTGTTGTTATTCTCTCTCGTGAAGTGATTAATTCTTAAAATAGATATGCATCATTAAATTGAAATTGAAATGTAACAGATAAACCGATGATGACTAGTCAAGACGTAGACCGAACATCAATCATCATTTATATTCTCTCCTGTGAATTGATTAATTCTTATAACGGGCATATGGATCATTGAATTGAAAATAAAATATAACGCTTTGAGAGAAATAGACATAATATTAGTTTAAGTCTACAAATGAAAAAAAAAAAACTAACTAAAAATGAGAATATTATTCATTTTTGTTAAAATAACATTTATTGTGAAACAGATAATTGTAAAATGGGATATATTATATATGCTACTGTGTTGTGATACAATATTATTAGATAGTACAATATTAGTTCCTCAAGAAAAATATCATTAGGATACTATTTCGTATACAACTTGAGCTCATTTTAAGATATATCTTCTATATATGATTATATTACTAATAAATTTTTAATTAATAATATATGTTAAACTATCAGTAATATTATATTGAATTGTCAGTATTCACATGCAGAAAAACTAAATTACAAATCTAATCAATTTAACTAACTACCTAACCAATTTCCTAGTTAATCTTCATTTAGAATTACTATATCATTCTTCCATAATTCTAAATGTTTAGAAGTTCTAATTAACTCTTCAAATATTCAAAACTTTAGAATTTCAATGCTTTTGTAAATCTCTCTGTGTCAAATTGCTCATTTGTAGAATAATGTATGTCTTCTATCATGCATTTCATCATTTACATCTTTATAAAATGAAATCTTATCTCAACATGTTTGCTTCTTCCATGTGAAACAAGATTCTTTGTCAAATTTATTATAGATTTATTGTCGATTATCGGCTTCATAAACTTTTGCGCTTCTCACCTTTGAAATTGCATGTCTCAAATATATTAAGGGGAGAAACAGGAATTGGTATGATTTGCATCATACAGTTCCTTGAGTAGAATGAAACTGAACAAGAGGAAAATATGAATTGGTGTAAGGTTGTGAGTCAAATCACAACGTACACATGATTCATATCATGAACCTTATGAATCGAATTACAATTTGTTTACGAGTCGAATCATGAAACTTCTGCTAGCCTCTGGCAAGTTTGAGTCGAATCATGACTTCTTCATGACTCGAATCACAACTTGCATGAGTCAAAATATGGTTTACACCTGACTCAAATCATAGCAAGTGTTTTTAAGTGCAGATCTTGTTGCACATTACTTTGCCACTTGACTCAAATCACCAAGTGTTTTTGACTCGAATCAAACATGATCTCTTCACCATTTTTTGTGTTTCATCACCAAGACATATAAATCATTTTTTATTCTAAAACCTTTCACAATGTTAGAAAACACATTTTTCCATTGATGAATTTCAAACTGACAAACCACTTGTTCTCTCATTTTGAAACAAGCTTCTAATCTTTCTTAAACACTTGCAAACGATTTCTTTCATCTTCTATCTCATTCTTTTTTTATTGTTGCATGGATCCGAATTTTATCTCGGAATATTTGTGATTAATTGAGGAGATTCCTTTTGAATTTAATATTTATTTGAAGATTTGTTTAAGATTTTAGAGGCTTGCAAGAGTGTGTGGTGTCGTGCCTGGTTATGACAATTTTAGTGAAAAAGAATGAAGTTCTTCTCTCCAGGTTGACCTTGGTGGTGTTATGTGTAAGCCTACATACAAGGTATGAGTTCTTCTCAATCTTCGGACAGACCAACACTCAAGATACCAAGGGATAAGTGTGGAAATTGTCGCGGACGAAGACTTAGGAGTAGGTTGTTAAGGCTGAAAGATTCAAGAAGCGAATTCAAGTAAAGATTTTGCATAAATTCAGCTTGTGGAGTTGTGTAAAAGTTAAAGATCCAGAAATAAGAAACTTATTTTGAACTAGAGATTGTATGAACTATTGTAATTTTGTTACAAATCATATTGAAAGACCAACAAATTTTCAATGGGCAACCACTTGAGGGTGGATTAAGCACAAAGCGAGGACGAACGTGGCGAACCATTATAAATCTTGGTGTACTCTCTCTCTCTCTCTCATTTAAATTTTGTAGTTGTTCGCATGATTAGGTTGTTTCAATTGCTTTCTAAAATTGCATTCTGATAGGATTCTCTGTTGGTAGCGATTTTATTGTATAAGTTGTAGGTTTTCTTAGAATTGATAATTCAACATTGTCTTAGTGTCGATTAAACCTGAAGATGGTGGTTGTATAATATTATTCTTGTTGTGAATTGTGGAATAACATTTATCGTGTAATTGTTCAATTAGTCAATGCAGTTAGCTTGTTTATTTGGTGTAATTCAATTGTCCAACTTGATTGTGTTGTGAGCTCTTTAAGTATATTCGTCCAACTTCCAATCAGTAAGCATAATCTATTTTACGCTAAATTTGTTTCTACCATGCAAAATAAAACTTTGATTTTGAAACTCAAATAAATACACTTTCAAACGAATTTTTAATTTGATGTTTTGTCGCTTTCTTTATTGCTTCCTTATTTATGTTTCACAAGGATGACACGCACAAATTAAAAAATATCCAAATTTTTAGAATTTAAGATTTAGGGATGACGTTGACTACTACAGAATACCATGAAATTGAATCTGACAATTTAAAATGAAATTGTGATCTGACTCCAATGTGCGGCTCCTTAGTAAGACTCCACATACATATTTAGTAGTATCAATTAAGAGTGTTATAAATTGGGTCATTCATATTGAGCCGGTCTAGTTGAACTGCTTGGCTGGCCTAAAACATATTTTTTTAATAAAAAAATCTTAGTAAAGGCATATATGTCTCCACAACCTTGAACTTATGCTCGGAGACTAAGAGAAAGTTTAGTGAAACAGAAGAATCACCACATTCATTTGAACATTTAGTTCAAGCTATATCTATAGTCATAAATAAAGGAGTTAAAGTCTATATATGAATGTATATATGAAATGTATAATTTGTTTTTGTAATTTATTTTGAAAAATCTATTGAAATTTGTTGAAAATAACTTTGATAGGACATAAATAGTTTTCATAAATTTTTCATAACACATTGTCAAGTCTATATATGAATAGGACATAAATAGATTTCATAAAATTTTTATAGCACATTGTCAAGTCTATATATGAGTAGATAGCTCATATAAGTTATTCATAAGCCATTCCTTTCAAACGCAAGCTAAAGGTTATGATGACCAAACAATTTCTTTCTTTGAGAGGGTTTGTCAATCATTTTAGATCTTATTAGGAAAATAGA